ATTAGTAGTTTATTAAAAAGAAAAAAATCAGTGGCTTCTCAATTATGACAATAATTATGTCAATTATCTCAATTTTTTTTTTTTTTTTTGAAGAGTATTAATTCATGCTACATTTATTATAGCTTTTGGCTCATTTTCCTATTTACTTTAAGCATTGGTTGACTTCAAGAACTTTTAGGAGAGGTCACTAAAGTTGATCTAGGCCCTGCTTCTATATGCTTGTATGGGAACTGCTGAATCGTGGCCTGAACCTCTGGTCTACCGCCTGGGGTGAGTGGTAAGGCAGCTGCAGGGGCACAGCTAGGAGTGGGCAGCCCTGGGCGCTGGGGGGCCAGCCACAGTAGGTGGTTCACCTGTGCTGCTGGAAGGGGTGGGGCCTGGCTCCGCCTCTCCGGAGGACTTTTTCCACTCCAGTGGATTCACTCCACCAGAGTTTCTAGCACAAGCTTAGGATAAGGGTGAGTGTCCTTCTTCCTTGCTCCAGTATAAAAACTACATAGCCAAGCTCGTGGATATAGTATAACATCTGTATATTCATTAATTGTACAGTACTGCATATCTCAGACCTCACTGAATAACTTCACAAGATGTTTTCATTTTTACTTTTGCCTGTAATGTGTTTTTTTCTTGCCTTTAATCTTTCCTATGCAATTTCAGAGACTTGCTTTCCAAAATAGAGAACAGAGCTCGCTCAAATGCCAATAGGTCCTGGGTAGAAGGATGGAGATAGAAAAAAAGGACTCAAACCGTTTAGATTCTTAGGAGGTCAGATAATAAATTCAGATAAATTTTCAATCACTCTAGGATAGTTTGAGATTCTATCTTTTTTCTTTGATGATAACTATCTGCTCCTTCTCTAGGTTTGGAGTCAGAGAAATCCAGCTGCAATGAGTGTGGAGAATGCATAAGGAAGCATTTTCTAGACAACATACTTCATCATATTCATGTTGCGTTTGATTACTTGCAGGGGGAAGGAAGAATGCAGAAGAGAGAGACACAATTTCCATCCTAACATATCCTCCTCCCCACTCCCAGCAATTACTATCTTTAGGTATCAAGCTGAGTGCATTATAATACTAAGTTATTGGTAATTTACTGAAATCATGTAAATCAGCCAAAATGCACAGGGAAAATTCAGCCTGAGAAAGACAAAAAAGAAAATTCTTGGCAGTAGCTTCCCATGATGTGAATAACTTCTGTGGACTGACACACTGAAAAGGCTAATTAGAGCTGTTTAGCCATTTTCTGTAGCTCGGTAATGGGCACTATTATTTGAAAGTTCTACAGCACTGTTATTGCAATTACTGCAGCACTGTTAATCTTTTGGATGTGGGATCAATGCAGCAGTTACAGCAAGCAAGCAGGCTCTTCTCCCCTAAAATAGGCACAATAACCAGCAGAGATGTTCTCCAAGTGGTGACCGGCTGTGTTTGCATAACACAGTGCCCTTCTATAGTGTTGGTACTGCTGAGAGTTATAAATGGACTGGACTTTCACCGATCATTACTTTGACAACCCTGGAGGGTACACCCACCGCAGCGATTCTGCTGCACCACAGCTCTGTCCATAGTCACAGTATAATCAAATTATTCAGACGCTTCTCAAGTGTGAAAGATCTCAAAGCACATGACCTTGTGGCACTGCTCATAAAAGAGCACAGCTTTGTGAAGTATGAATATATTTCTTCCTGCTAATTAATTAAACCAGATTCCTCACTATTTGATTCTAATCTTTTGATTAATCAGTGTTAAAAATACAGGTGTTCAAGGGCATATATCCTCCAAAAAAAAAAAATGCTAGTAAAAGTCCTCTTCAAAATGGCTGGAAGTTAATAATATGTATGCATCTGTATACAACATACATTCATTTATACATACATATAATTTAAAAATCCATGGATATAATAGATAGAACCAGAGAGGAGAAGACAACGCTACGTTATTGAGCATATTTTCAAAGGAGCATGTGTGATTCAGAAGACCAAAAACTAATGGCAGAAAGAATCTCTACTGAGTCACCTTTAAAAACACCAACTTTTGAAAACTTGCCCATAAGATTTTATGGTATGAATTGTCCAGATGAGACAAGAACAATAATGTGATGTAGATACGTTTCTGGGGGGGAATTGCTTCTATAAATATTAGTTTCCAGGTGCTACAGAGCATCTAATTTTAGAGAAAGAGGTCATCTGTATAGACCCAGAATGGCAGTTTGTAAACTGACACATGGTGGTACCCAACATCAGTTGTACCTTTACCTCCTTCTGAGCACCTGTCCTCTATGACATCGAGACACAGGAAGGGCCTTCTGCCTGACCGACAACGTGTCGCATGCATAAAGCATTGACCGAGAATGAGGATATTTTATTTCCATTCCTAAATATGAAACTGACCTAACGGATAACTCTAAGTGAATCATTTTACAACTGTAATTCCGGTGTAAGTTCTAATGATACGACCTCCTTTACAGACTGACACTGGAAACTGCCTTGGGGTTAAATGTGATTATTTATTAATTTTACTGAAGCCAATTGATTTTACAGGGAATATTTCACACCTGACTATACAAGCTGTCTACACAAGTTCATTTTCACACAAGCCCCTTTCGATACTGTCCAAACATAACCAACTCTCACAGTTAATTTTACTTCTTTTATGTTAATAATTTAACATGAGAAGCTTAAAATACCAGGAATGTTTTTCTCATTGTTATTTTTATTAACTACTAATTTGCGGTTATTTTATGGATAATAGAAAAGGGAACTAACAGGACATCTCAGTCATAGCTTGAAAAATACTTTGAAATGTTAGCTTGTGAAGCATTAAAATATATACATAGACATATAGTTTCTTAACAAGTAGAAAGAGTCTTAGGATTATGGCAATGAACACTACTACTCGTATTTGAATCAGAATGTCTATTTCATCAGGAGAGTAACATTTATGTAACTATTGGTTATCCAGTACAGGCCCACCTAGGTCCAGCTATACACTGCCAGGCTCAGCAAATACCCTGAAAATGAGCCAGTAAGAGAGAAGGAATTGCACTCACTTTTAATGCTACAAAGGACATTATTATTCATAGTCTAGTAACTTTATGGCAAGGATAAACCTCTTGGAGGAAGGAAGAGTACCATATCTTAACATTATTTTCATTGGAATAATTTCAATTCCAACATGACTGAAAAAAGAGGATATGAGATTTTTTAAAAAATTACTAAATTAGCGACAACATGCAGAGAATATACGTGACTAAAATGACTGTCTTGACAGAAAGACACAGAAGCAGCCACAGAGCAACTCTGAAATAGACTTTCAGGACATAATCGAGGTCACCTACTTATCCTAATAATTCTTTGAGCACAGTGCTATATTTTATAGTTCAGGATTTTGGAACCTACGTGCTCACCAACCCTTTAAACTAATGTTATCTTCATTTTACAAGTGATTAGAGAGAGGTACAGAGATGAGAAAGGCCTGCTGTCTAAATTGACTCCTGATTCTGAGCGTGCTGAGAGCTGCTCCACCTAATTTAAGGAAGTGCTGAGAATCTGCATCTGAACCAAAGAGGAGATCTGCAAATGGTGCAGCTGCCAAAATGCAGGACTTACTGTAAAATCTATGATCTTACTGAGCTGTTGAGAGAGATCTCAGTGTTCTGATCCCAGCTCCTTTCCCAACCACCATCAGAGAGTTCCAAACTCCAGAACAGAGACCTCACAACTGCAGTTTGCAGTTGGTAGTATTTAATCAGTAAACTGCAATTGGCTCATGTTTCTAAGGTTATTTTATACTATGTTACAGTGATCTGAACAAATATTACTTTTTCATTCACCTTAAGGCTATTTTTTGATTGCCTGATTGGAATAAAGAGACCCCAATGCAACTGAGAAGCAGATACCAAGGTTTCACCTCAGCAGGGACTAACCTCCCCAACCGTGAACCTATACACTGGGATATTCATATATCTAAGAATCATGAACATTGACGCTTGCCTCTGAGAGCGAAGCGGGAGATGGGTCCAGAACATTTGGATGTTCATCCCATGCCAGCTCAAATACTGGTCGTGTTACATAACCAGAAGATAAGCTACAGCAAAGTCCATACAGAGAATAAAAGGTGAAAGGTTGTTTTTTTTTTTTGTTTGTTTGTTTTCCCCTTTACACTTTAAGCTGATGGTATTTGAAACCCCAGCTATTATGGAATTTGTAAAGTTTCATTGTGGATTGGGTCATTCAGTCAAATGTGCATATTCAAACACGTAGCATAAACTTTCTATTTCTGCCACAGGTTGGTGACTCACCAATAAGCTCACTCATCATTTCCACTGTTCCAGTGCCTGATATCTCTTGAATAATTCAAACATCCTCCTTTGAGTAGGATAATGTGTGGCTGGATTGAGTTTCCTGAATGCACTGTGAGAACTCGGGAGCCAGATTCCATACTGAGAATACGTAAGGTCTATGCCCTAAAATCTTCACATCTTTTCAGAGAGTCTACTGTGTACCTTTTAACAACTAATGACGTTACACCTTGTGTTCTTGACTGTGAATCTAGAAGATCTAGACATTCTCTGGCTTTAATATTCACAGATACTGGCCATATTCCATTGAAACAATGCAATAAAGAGCAATAAACAAGGAAAGAAAGAATGCAAATGATAATATATTTCTGCACCAAGTGTTGTTGTACGGCCATGGAATTTCTCATTCCCTTATCTTGGAGATCTAATGGATCTCACTGTGGAATAAATAGCAAGGAATTGCCATTGTACAGTCTTGCCAAATGGGAATCAAAGCGCATTTTAAGCCCCAACAATGTGATTATTCAAAGATCAATTAGGCAAGTGTAGCATCGAATGCCAAATTAAACGATGTAAACAAGACTGATGGCTATTTGCATAAGCTGAATACCACAAAGCTGATAAAGTTGCAGATAGCATTCTCCCAAAAAAACACGGTTCACACGGTCTCACTATGGGAGCGAATCAAGAGTACTTACCATTCTTGGAGAGAATCACAGCCAAATATTCATGGAAGTAGGTGTTGATGTACAGCAGAAGGCTTGGAGCATGTGCCGTAAGAAAGCTAAATGCAATATTTTCCTTGGACATGATGGCATCCGCATAAATGGCAGAACTTGAAGTGCTTGTGTTTTTTGTGACAGGATAAGGTTCTTGGAAAATATAGGTAATAGAAGTGCCAGCTTCAAATAAAGCAGAAACCTCTGAAAGAATATATAAACCAAAGGAACAGTTTCAGCTACTGCATTTTCAGGCATTTCAGACAGGTGTGCACACAAACTGGTTGTCTCAGAAAGAGAACGCTGCAAAATGTTCTTGACCTGGCTGATATAACCATTCCTTCATTTGGACGAGCAGAAAGCCCTTCCTCACAGGCTGTATGTTTGACACAGAGAAGGGCAATATATACAGGCAGGCATATATATTCAATTATTATAGTGCTTGAATCATTGCTGTACAAACAGCCCAAAAAGTTTGTTAGTCAAATAAATCATTAATTTTATCATCTTCTGACAGTTAATTTGCTAGGCAATATTCTCTATCTTCCCCCCACAGAAAAGACAATGACACAATTGTCCTTTCCGGTCTTCTTTTTAAGCAAAATAATCATTAAAGCAACACATTAATTCAAAGAAAGTCACTGAGGGAGAGCAGCAGCTCCAAGAGAAACACCTGCCATTAGATGCTCAGAACGCAAGAACTCACATTGTGTTTTCACAGCACACAACATAATTTGGCCACAAAACACATGCAAGTGACAACAGCTGTTTTCCAGTAAAGCAGATCTACCTCTACAGCAGCTCCTAACAGGATACTACATGGTTATTTGGTATGCGTCTCATGACATTGGTGTCAAATCTTCAACTCATGGAAGTGGGCACAGTTCCATGGACTTCAGTATAACTAAGTCAGTTTACACTAGGAGATGATGTGATCCACTTAGTCAACCTGTCACACTTGTAAGATGAGGGACAGTCACGGAAATTAAAATACTAGCCTTACAATTTGTTGCTATTAAGCGGGGATTTGGGTAGTTTCTTCTTTTCTCCAGGAGCACGCTATCAAAATTGGACGCACTTTATTTGCCCTGCTCCTTTTTCAGGTGTTGGCAATGTCTCCTTAAAGTCAGCAAACAGGTACAGTATGGACATGATCCTCAGAAAGTGAACCATACAAATCAGTTTCTTTCCTGAACTGGATTTATTTTTGATAACTCTTCTCGTGGCCAAGTTTAGATGGGTTGAGACAGGGATTATGACAAACATAAAGACTCCCCCTTTTTGTCACACCATTGCTTAGATCTCTGTAAAGATCTTATCATTTTCTTAAGGTGGACAAAACCAGATGAAATTTTAAAGCAAATGAAACATTCAGACATGGGCAGAGAACTGTCAAGGAAACTTTCAGCCCTGTTTGTAAAAGTCTGGACCATGTTATACGCAACCGAATAGAGGAGTCATAGCATAATACGGTTGATAATTTAAATAACAGTAAGACTAGCACTATTTTAATTTCTGAGTACTAAAGTCATCAAGTGGAGGAATTCAAGTCCACTTAACGTAAACACTTAATGCTCAGAGGAAAGCTCATATTAGAACATCCTCTTGTAGTACGGTGGACAACAAGCTGATGCGGGTGATATTGTGTTACAGACATTCAGAAACCACTAAAGACTTCAGATCTAAGCTCTTTGCCTACCTTCCTTGCAGTAGGGCCCTTCGTAGGCTGAGCCAGTGCAATCACAAGAATACCCATTGTACTTCTCCACGCATTTTCCTCCATTATGGCACAGATTACCATAACTACTGCAGTGCCCTGGACATCCAGGTTTAACACCAGGAGTCATTTTAGCTCTTTCTTCAAGGTCAAGTTTCTGTCCATTTAAATGCAGAGATCGAATGCATCCCAAAAAGCCCTTTTGTCTGGAAGCTGTTCCTCCTGAAACAGAGAAGAAAAAAATCAAATGCATTAATTGAACGACCCACAAAATAATCAAAGCCCTGAAGATACAAATACAGAGGTACAAACAGGAATCCCCAGAACTTTAAAATATTACCTATTACGCATTAGTGCATATTGTAGCAAAAGATGGATGTATTGACAGCCCAAGAAACTAAGAATCTCTTACTTTAAGAAAGGACTAAAGCTGTGTGTAAGGTTCTAGCTGCAATTCTTTTCTGCCTTACCTACCACCCTGTTAGGTATTTAAATTACAAATTCATTTGGTAAAACGCTTCTTTATCATATGCCTGCATATCATTTAATACATGAGAATCCCAAACTATTTTTTTTATTTCTTGCCATAGTACAAATAACGCCCAAATCCCAACAGCAGATGAGTTACACATGCTGATGAGCCCAGATAGCACGGATGAATCGTGTTCAACACCAGATTTGCTGGCTGAAGGGAAATGACTTTAGAGACAGAATTTATGCATGACTGATCAACCCAATGTTGCATGTGAATGTTTGTTGTAGACAAGAAATGTGAGTTTGGGTTACAGTTGCAATTTATTACAACTGTGAAACACAACTGCATCTCCTCATGAAGAATAAAGATGTACAGATTTCAGCAAGAGCTTGGTCTAGTCTCGACAGGCTACGTTCTTATCACTGCACTGCTAACAATGAAAACAGTTTGCCTTAAGAGATGGTCTCTCACAAAGATTATAATTACTGATGATAGACTGAAAATATCAACATCTTTATTATTGTAGGCTTTGTTTGGCAATTGCCAATGCTTTATTCTGAATTCACTGCAATTTTGATTGCTACTATGAAATCAAACTCTGGCCAAAGAGTTAATAGCACTCGTAGTTCTGAAATGCTAGTTTTGTCAGTGATGCACCAGTAACTAAGCAAAAAATATGAAAAGTTATCTTTCCAAATTCTTCTTCTATAGAAGTTTGTTCTATATCAAAATGCATGAGATAATAGATCTTTTGATGAGTCCTTGCAGAAGAGCATCTGTTCTCTCATAAATTGTTTAATTAAAGCCAGACTTCTGCGAACGATGAGAATGAAATAGCAGTCTGAAAAGCAATCTCACCGAAACCCTATTGTTATGCCATATTATTCTGACATATTTTTCTATCTGTTACGCTAATAGCTGAAATACTGGATCTGAATTAGAATAACTAAATTCTAGATGTGTGCATGTGTGAGACAGATTTACTTTACACTAAGTTTATGGTACCCTTTACAGTGAAACAAATATGTTCAAAATCTTCTTTAGTCGATTACTCTCTCCAGATGAACAAATGTTAGTTCACTTATGTTAAAGGACCCCTGAAGATAACAACAGGGCCTTTTTTTGCATTTGCTGTATTATGCACACGTGACCCTTTTCTTTTGAGATTTTGTTTCAAAACCAAACACATCACACAAAATTTTTAGTAATGTCCTCATAAAAAGGAATATTATTTCTTTCTTTAAAGTTATTGGCTACTCAGTTTTCTTTTGCACAGGAAATAACCACAGATATTATAAGGATAAATAACAATGCACTATCCAAAAAGATGTCCCTCATTTTAAATGGCAAGAGTGACAGTCCATTGGTCCACTGAAAGGAAGGATTTTAGCCTTTCCATTCAGATCAAGTCTTGTGCCAAACTGGCCCACTGCTGCACATAATTTGATCAAGCTGACATTATATAGCCTGTAAACTTCTTTGGGATTTGCTCTCTGTACGGTCATTTTTTAAATTTAACGGAAGAAATATAACCAGGTACAAGGATATCCAACCTGTTGCTGTGGATTAGCAGTATGAAGCAGTTAGATTCCAAATAATCTCTGAAAAAAGGTGAGAAATGGGTTTCCAACTCCTTTAGACCGCTTTAACATTTCAACTTGTTTGATTTTAAGTAATCCTCAATATACTGCAATGGAAATTCATTTCTCCTTTCACTTTGCACACACACAGCTATCTCAGAAGCCTTTCACATACTCAAAGTGTTCCAGTGCTAGCCTTAAGCAGACTGTTTTTATTCTAAATTATTTTAACAAGACCAGCCATAGAAAAAAAGCTTTCTAGATAAATACACGAGTGCCTTGAGAATTAACTACACAATAAATCAGTTAATTGTACAAATTTTGTTGAATCTACTTTTAATGACTATGCATAACTGTTTTCCTTTAACTGAAAGAAATTATAATTTAATATACTCAAACTGTATAGAATATAGTCTGACTTTTATAGGAAGTGATAGAATAAAAAAAAGAATTGTGAATTTGAACCTAGTCATATTATGTTGCTATGGGTGAGAGGAAGAGAGAGATTAGATTTGTGCTGTTCCATTTCGAGTCCAGGTAAGTCCAGAAAGGAAGAGCCCATTTTCTATGGTTTATTTTGAATGACATGTGAAAGAAATCATTGTTGCAGTGGAATGATAATAATGTCAGGCATTGATGATTTCTTGCACATGGTATGTGGCATGCTGACATGCTCAGCTGGAGCAAATGCTTAGGTTCTGTTCCCCTAAGGGGGAACACATCCCAAAGACAGATACGCAGGGAAGATGCCAGCCTGGCAAAATGCAAAATAGTCAAGAATGCTGATTTAAGTCCATATCTGAGCAACGAACGGTGTCAGGAAAGACCTAGATGGAGAACAGATGGTATGAAAAGAAGTGACGTCTGAATTCTAGCATTTTTGTAAAAACAGAGTAGTATGGGCGTATGGATCTGAAACAATTTTTTTTTATACAGTACTAATCTATATAAGAGGCCTTGGGTAAACAAAATCCACAACGTGAGTGCATCTTTCCAGGCAGTGTAAAATTGGTGTGAACTTCTCAACCTGTAATGCTGTATAAGCTCTAAAATGGAAATATCTGTGGCTGTATTAGCATGCACATAACGAGTTATGGCTACTTTGTGCAACTCAAGGCCTTTAAGTGAGCGAGAAAACTTTCTAGCAGGCGGCATTGTGAATCTAAGATATGCAATGTCAGTTCTTTATCAGTAAGACATGAGTGGCATTCAGAGCTACACCATCAAATTGCAGTTTGAGAATATTAAACACCAATAGTTATACGGAAGTACACAAGAGCAAGTTGGAAATTGATTTTTAGCCTAGCAGTGTCCCAGGCAGGCAGAAGTTGAAGAACAAGCACAGCTCAAAATTAGCATAGACATAAATCACAGTGAAATTCCTAGATTCAGCCTGTAGTCTCTAGGGATCTGAATTTCTCTGCTAGAGCAATCACGATGTAGCAACGCTGAACTCACTGTCTAAATACAGTCAGCATCCCTCTGAGACAACTGAAGCTCATATCTTTCAGTGTTCAGGACACATCTTTGCATTAACTCACAATCAGTATTTCCTCCATCCAGGACTGGACCATTGTTGTGATTTGAATTTTTTTAATTTAGTTTCTTACTTACACACACGTGGTTTATTTTTATCTCTGAATCCAGTCTTTTTAAATCCCTTTTCCAAATTTAACTGAGAGAATATAATGTTCTCCCATAATTCACAAAAACTGGTAGCAAGGCAAATAAGAAATGGCATTACAATCTCCGCTCAGTAAGACTAAAGTGTGAATTCAGCCCTTACAAGACATAAAAGAGCCTAACACACATAAAAGAGAAATCTTTTTATGTGCTTAGTCATTGGAAAATCTTCAGCAAACCCTAAATCTCCCAAAATACCAAAGTTGGTCAATCTCAACATACACTTCCAAGGAAAGCCAGGCCTTCTTAACTCCAATCCTTAGGAAATATTTAAAGGCCAATTAACTTGCTCAGAACTTCAGTATCACCGAATCAGAAGTATATGAAGCGCACCTCTAAGGCTGCCTACAACTGACAGCTCTTTTAAGATTTCTGGAGAAGGCTTCTGTTCAACTTTCTTCACAATAAATCACAGAAAGTATGAAAGTTGGCTTGTTCTTCAGGCCAACTTTAAAACAAAATAAAACCACCATGAACACAAAACCCAAGGAGCAAAATCATTCAGTTATACATGATCTTAAAGGTATTTGATTCTCGGATTAAGATGAAAAATCTGAGCGAAATGAATTAAACAGCTTGGTCAGAAGACAGGTAGAAACGCTTGATGCAGAATTAGCTGATCCAGATTAGCAGAACTCATTTAAATTTATATTAGATGCCAGTTGCCCCATTAGTCATATTTTACAAAAACCCAAATTTATCTTATACGTGCGATCTACTGTATATGACTTTGCCAAATAAATAGAGACAAAACTGACACACGTATACTGTACATATGCCGATGGCTCTCAAGCAATGTGAAAATGACCATAGTTTGAATGCTACAGTGGGTCTCCATTCAATCATCATAATGCTACATGATACTAATATAGTTTCTTCACTCAAAGGATCAATAAATCCTTCCAAAAGATAAATAAACTGAATTAATTCTTGGCATTGAGCTTTATTTATGAGATTTACAAGATGTATGAATTGATTCTGGAGAAGAATCAAGAAAAAAAAAAAGAGGTTATATCTTAATGAGTAGCTAACTCTACTATGGAAACAAGGAGATTAAAGTATATTTGGAACATTTTTAAGACAGCAAAACACGTCAGTTAGATTATTAATTAAGAATGTGCATACTAATTGTGGAAACTCCTTAATCACTCTTAGTATGCATAATGCTGCAGAAACAAACGTTGTTATAGGAAGTTAAGGGGGGGAGAGAAGAGTAACATTATGTGTTGCTGCTTCTCTCCTTTTAAATAAAATAAGTGTTGTTTATGTATTTATTTTTCAGATGAGATAAAATTCTGCTGCCGTGGTTCAGGTATTAAATCAGTTGCTTTCTATTAGAGACTGGAATGAGACCTTCAGTAGAGACAAATGACTCCACATCTGTGCATTGTTGGACTTCTGCCACCTTTCCCTGAAGCACCTGGGGACAATGTTAGAATCAAAAGACTGTTCAGGTTTCCATCTCTTCTGTTCGCGCTTAGAAAAACTCAGATGGTTACAGACAGTTTTGACCTTCATTATGGCTTTCTGTGGTAGATTTAAAGGCCAGCATTTAATTCTTAAAAGCATCAGTTTTTACTGAATCTTTTTGTTCAGAGTTCAGTAAAAGCGTAGATGGATAACTGAATGCAATCAAATTACTGCACAGTGAGAAGTTTTCATCCCTCAGCTGACAAGTAACTATGACCTAGAGTTTATTGTAAAGTGTTTTTAATATTAAATAAAATCAGGGAACAGGTTGGGATGGAAGCCACTGCTGGAAATCAACTATTCCAACCTCTTCTTCAAAACCCAGCTATATTCATTGTTAGATCATGTTTGCTCAGGGCCTTTTCCAATAAAGTTTTGATCGTTTCTGAGGATGGAGATCCCACAATCTCTCTGCTTCAGTGCTGCGATGCTCTCATTGTGAAGATCATTATTTTCCTTCTTTTGCTGCAGCCTGTGGGCTACATCTTTGTTCACTGGTTCAGCCTGTGGTCAGTCTTCACTTCTGCAAGGGCACACTGTAAAATTCACTTAACTACCAAGACCAACAGGACCTTTTTTGGACAGTGGCTACCCATCCCATCAATCCCCAGCTTGTTTGGATGAATGACATTTTTGCTCCAGGTACAGGGCTTTGCATTTGTCTTTGCTGATAAAAGTTTCTGCCGGTACATTTCTTAAATTTATTGGTGTCCTTAACTACCCCAGATTTCCATGATGCAATTCAATGATTATGTCACATTAAAGTCACCCATGAAGTGGTTCAAGTAATCTGTTCATTCTGCAGAGAAGAAAGCTTATAGGCAGAAACTGCTTTCCAGATGTGAGATAGGAAGCAGCTAGGTCACATTCTGATAATGACTTATGATAATACCTTCGTTTTTACTCCTTCACAAAGAAGTATACCAAATTTTGCAAAATTCTGTCCACACAATAAATACTCCTAAGTTTTCTGTTTGCAAACAGTACCCTGGCTAAATTTCTCTGGTGTTTCTAAGGTGTTTAGCTTTTCATCCTCAGTGTTTCCAGACTTTGTCTCTCACTTGAAAGCAGAAGCATTGCTCTGTGAGTCTTAATGGATAATAAGTGAGTTCTTCAGCCAAGTGTTATTGGAGAACATTTGAATCAACTGCTATGAGGGAAAGCCATTGGTGTAACTGTATATATATTTATTAACAAACTCTTTCCTTTATTCATAGCTCAGTAATGATTGCACGTATACACTATAGCTAACTTAAATGCCTCAAAATCTTCTTAATTCAAAGCATGTGCATACACAGGTAAATTTCATTAAAACTAATTGGTAGATTGACACTTAGTACAGCATTTCAGTCAAATACGAGAATCTGTTTTAAGGAAAGAATCTGTAATTATCTGCGTGACCCTGAATAAGAAACGGATTGCAACTCACTCCCATCACAGTGCGAACTACTCAGAAAAGTAGCGTTTGAATATTTATTTTGAATAAAAAGACAACCCTCTGCAATCCCACAGTAACCTCCTTGAATGCATGTCTTTTGCATTTCATCACAAAAGATGGATCACATTTCCTACAGTAAATTACACAATCAGTAATGTAGGAGAGGAAAGAGTGAATCCTTTGTTAAGTGCTTAGTGTAGATAGTAGTTTGGGTTTGCTTTATGTAGTCTGCGCTGGAGGGAAAGAGGAGGCAGCAGAATTAGTTCACCACACCTGAGCTCAGCTACACAATAGCAGCATTACCAAAGTATGAACATAGAAATATTGCATACACCTGCCAAAGCTCTTAAATGACTCGTACCTACAAATAATTGGCTGTTGAGCTGCAACCGAAAGTGCCCCTCTGCAGGTGCCTCCAGAACCTTCTTGGGGAGGTTGTCCACCTGGAGACTGGTTTGCTTGAGGTTCCGCTCTGCTCGGACATAGTGCCACTGATTGTCATTTAGGGGTGTGGGAGATTGCACGGTTGCTTCTGTGGGGCCATTTCCAACATCTATGGAAAAGGTGATCTCTTTGGGGGCTGGAGTAAACAGAGACAAAGAGAAAGTGATGGTCTGAATTAAATAGTGCTTTTGACCTCAAGAAATCCTACATAAATATAGGGTCCATTAGCTTTTATCATTATTTACCTTCCACGTCCTACCCAGCAGCTTATACGTAAATGTGAATCCGCGGCCTCACTATTTGATCTCTGTTGTGACAATGCTTAGCTGCAGATATCCATTGTTTTTGTTTGTTTGTTTGTTTCTTACCAGAACAATCGTGCTGCACCAGAAATTGTAATTTGTTCTCTTTTGGAAGCAAAAGTGTCAAATTCTGTACTAAAGTCACAAAAAGCTTTTGAACAAATAATGCTAATATGGTGGAAAGGATGAAGGAGCTCTTTCTGACTAAATATTCAAAATACATGTACTTAATAAGAACAAAATTTGGCTGTATATGGTAAGAGAGAACCTCGAGCATTTGTTTGCATGAATCAGCCTGACCCAAGGAGCAAGGAGGTACAGATTAAAAAATCACTAATTGGTGTCCAGAGACAGCAAGGATTCTAGAAACAGAGTAGTAACACGAAAAATAACAGTCATAAGGAGGAGTGTTATCTCACTCCGCTGCAAGCCACCTGAATGGGCGCCAGAACTCCTTAACATTCTTGTTTTATTATTTTTCCCTCTTCCTAAAATGCTGAATACATCAGAAAGAATAAGAATCAAGTCCACAGACTGCACAATAATCAGAAGGCTGAGGACCAAAAATTCATAAAAACCTGTTATTTCAAGCTCCACAAATTGGATAGGTCTGGTTTTGGAAGCCACTTCTTAGACAGTTAAGATAGGAAACACTCCATAGGGATAGACAAAGATCTATTCTGAGCCCCTGCATCTGCTAAAAGGCCATTTCCTTTCAAAGCAGCTGGTCTGTGGAGCTTCCTTGATACGAGGCCTTTAGGTTGCAAATTCCATTTGGCAGCAAGAAACACAACATAAAACTACTAATGAGAAGTGTATGTTTAAGAGAAAAGTATTTCCCCAAACTTTTAAATAACTCATTTTTGGGGAAGCACGGGTTTAACATGTACACTAAAGCTTTCACTAAACAATTCTTTCAGTAACTCATAGTATTTGTCATATTTGATACCAAAATGCCATTTTTCCTTCCATATCCCTGCAAATAAAATGCAGTACACCAAAGTACATCCAAATAGGACTTATATGCGCAGTTAGCATTAAATCATACCTCATTACCTTGTGATAACGCAATATGACATTTATCATTGGTTTGATGAATCAAAGGGCCTTTGGGCCCTGTTATATTAAATTTTATGTTGGGGTTATTATAAGCATATTATTAAATGCATAGCACTCATTTTGTTTTTCCTAAGTTTGACAGAATTTGGAATACAGAAGTAATATTTCATGTCAAAACCACAGTTCCCCTTTGCCATTAATAAAAATCTGAAGTAATCAGAACTGGAATGAGGTAAATCTACTCACTAAATATGTTTCCTACTCGTCTCTTTTACACATTAAGCTGCAGTCATACTGCAGTCACTTAATAGATTTTGAAGCATTCAAGGCCCATTACGAATGACTGCTGCAAATGACTTACTCCATGCTAGCACCATGTATTTCATATGCTCTCATAGGACTGTACCCTACACACCTAATTCCTCTGAAACACTGAGGTTGCATTGTACTGCATATATCACTGACACAGAAATAAAATTAACCGTAAGAGTTACACGTATTAAATTTTTCATCTCTCAAATAAAATTACAGTCTACAGCATATCTACCAAGTAGTTCTTCCTCTAATGAGCTAAAATGGGGAAAAATCGTATAAATGTAATCACTTCTCTGTTTAGGAAAGATTAAGTGAATCACAAGGTGATATGAACTAACCAAGGTTATATAGGAAACTCTGACAGGAGGAGGTAAGTCTAGATCAATGAGTCTTTATGTCTCATCCCCTCCAATCTCTTCCAACTGCCCCAAGATAAAAGAAAAAATGTCCTTCTCAGTTCTCTACTCCTGCTGAACTGGGAAACAAATCGTAATTTCTCCATCGTGAAACTTACATCTTATTTCAACTCGTATGAAGTCTTTCATCCCAAGGTTTTCCAAGAATACCCCAGAGAGAGATGTAGTTTTGAAGAAGAAGGAGATGTCTGCGCTGACCTCAGCATGGAAGGTGGGGAAGTGCAGGTAGGAAGCCTCTGTGTTGAAGGAAGCGGCGTTCCAGAACTGCCCTGTAAACACAACCCCCTTTCTCTATAGTTAATTGGCACAGGACAGCAGCTGTGAGCTGCATGTGGAAAGATGTCTTTCATCAGATAAATATGTTTAAAAAAAAAAAAAACAAAATAAAAGAAAATACAAAAATGGGAACATTCTGCACCTATGGAAATTGAGAAGAGCTAGTACTCACTGTCTCCATAGCAACGCAAAGGACCGATTTTCCAAGCAGCCTCAGAATTTGATCTGTTTGTGTCAGTGATCACTATCTGAGTTACAGGCAAATGGTCTTTGAAAGCAAGGAGGCCGGTATCATTTGTCCTGGATTATAATAAACAAACAAAAAGAGACATTAAGCACAGACAGATGCCCAACATTCTTCACAGAAGGCAATATTTGAAAGATGCTTACTTAAAACGTATTTGCAGATTTACCAAGAAGACTTGTGACCAGCACCCATTGCTTAAGATACGTACGTGCACAGTTGTGCTCTTTGCTCGTACACAGTGCAGACCCTGTGAAGTTGCTGCATTTTGACATGTGATCTCTCTGGTATAAACTCTAGCTGTGTTCTAGCTGTGCAGAATGATGGTAAAGCGGATGCAGAGTGCTGTCCTTCTGTGTGATGGACATAAATGTAAAACAGACCCTAGTGGGTTTCCTCAGCAGGATGAATTTGTTGTGATGTGATATAAGCTCAATATGCATTTCTGTTAAGTTAGCCAGAGACAGATAACGGCACTTTTGCTGGCTTTATGGTTTGTCCTAGCAGCAGGGGGACATGGGATACCAGCTGCAGCAAGCTGTTAGCATGGGCAGCCAGACTACATCCGATCCAGCTTCAGGACAGCTAGCACACAATTGACTCAGCACACTATGAAAGTGGTTGAATTGGTAGAGTGAGTACACACCTGTGAAATTTTTGTTCAGCAACTGAAACAATAAAGGCTAATTTACTGTAACACCCAACAACAGCCTTTTGTTTGTTTCAGCAGCGTTTATTGCTCAGCTGTAACCTACGCATGGCTGTTAAAAAGGAAGAGGATGGGAAGATTATTTTCTGTTTAGTCTGAGAGTCCTGGGGAAACCACTGTCCTCAGAATGAAGCATGACATTTCATGGCAGCCCTCTGGTCCCTGAAATGATTCAGTAGCTTTGGCTCTGTGTACAGATGAGCATTCATTCCACCCCTCTTCATGAACTTCATCGAGTCCCTCAGGCACCTGAAACCCAACCTTACCAGAGCTGAAATACCCTCTGGAGATATTTTCCTATCCATTGATCATAGAAAGACAAGTGCGATTACATCTCATCTCCGCAGTGATGAGCTTTTCTTCTCTCAGCTCTTTTGCTCAGGCATGAAGTCTGCTGTGAATCTGGGCACATAGACTTGTCAGACCACTGAACCAGATCTCTGTAGTTTTGGAGAAAAAGGAACCGCAGCTCTGCAGATCCAAACAACCTGTATGCAGGGCCTGCTCTCACCCATAAGCTCACTGGTCTAAGACGACATGGTGCACATGGGCACGGCAACAGTGACCAGATACAAGATAACAGTAATTCCAAACTTACAGCCACTGCTCTTTTACACAATTAAGAAAGAAAGCTTCAGGAAATAGCTTTCCCTTCTTCAGTGAAACCATTGCTGAGGAGTCTGACACCATAGACAGGTTCCCAGTCTGGCTTTATGTGGCTCAGAATGCCACCATCCACAAACATACTCCTCCTTATGGTTCCAGCTGTGGGAAGAGATGGCATTTCAGCAAAGAAACAATCAAAATGAAAAACACAGCTGTGCTGTGACACACAACCTCAGGTGTTTACTTTGCTAAGTACCCTATTCTGATTAATGTTACAAGAAATAGTAGGGGCATTTTCATCTCTTTGATAAAGGCTGTAAATATTTCATTTGTCTTTCATTGTTTCTAACTGCATGCAGCACAGTTAATTGTCTTGTAATTCCAAAGGAAAAGTACTTTCTCTGAACTCAACATTTTTTTCTTGCTTCAGGTGATGTCTGATATCCAGTTAATTACAAAGTGCAGAAAGATGAAACTCCCACTCTATTGAAGGCAGAGCGATGCATTCAATAAAGACTAACACAGAAATGTACCACATATGAATCAAAAATACATGGTCTCTAAATCTCTCCAGTATGATCTATCATAAACATTCCCATATAGCTTACTGCATCAACCTTTGAAAGCTAATACAAATGCTCTCAACAGATTGTGAAACAGTTGTAACAAAAGCTGATCTGTATTTCTTAGGAGGGTGATTAAATGAGGTTTTTGAGTGCATGGAAGAAAGAAGAGTAGGCAGAATGAATGAAAGAAAGGCAGAAAGATGCACAGAAAGAGCACATAAAATATGCAGTATACACAGGAATAACTTAGCTGGCATTTACATTAAAAAATAAAAAGATTTTTCACCAGACATTCATGGGATATTCCTGCAAATTCATTTCAATTCAAAAAATAATGTAAAATTTTGACTAGCAGTGATCGGTATTGCAGTAAAAATCACCGTCTTCCTGCAGCTACTGCTGAAGATTCCAAAAAAAAAAAAGAAAAAAAAGGAAAAAACCAAGAAAATTGTGACATTTTAAAGATATCTATTCCACATCTCTGAGAACTGTATTGCTTATTAGATATTCTGTTATATTGCATGAAGTTCTTTTATATTGTACTTTATGACTCAGAATTTTCGCTAGTTATATACCAATGTTAGCAAGAACTCCAGCAGCACAGCTCAAATGTGAGAAAGAAAAATATTCTATAACTAATAAAGATCATCACTTTTATGGTAACGTCTTGGAAACTCAATCAAGTTCCTCTGGAAGCTTGAAAAGCACATTTTATGTATTTTACTCTCTCAGACATGGAAAATAAGACTTATGGAAGAATACTTATTTGTCATATAAGCAGACACTGAAATAAAGTCTATCAGAAACATTATAACCTTTAGAGAATGCTTTAGTAATGGAAACAAAATAACTACTATTATTATTATCATTATTTCATAGTGAGTAATGAAGTTTTGGGCAAAATTCAGCACCTAGCAAGTTTCTGTTAAAGCAGTCAAAAAAGAGATTTGAAGACACTCTGAAGTGTCTTATGGGAGCTGCAGCTGGAGTGTCTTAATTCTCTGTCTTCTTTAAGGTAAACTTATTTCAAACTCAATTTCTTATGAAGTATCATGATTCCTCTTCTCTTTAAGTGGTGCATCATGGCAGCCTCTCAAAGATAGCCTATTACGTCTGAGAGAGGAGCAAGAGAGCTTTGTGTACCTGTACAATAATTTCCTGTAGGCACAACAAAAATTCCAGGGTTTGGACAAAACATTTTGATTTTTGACTGAAGAGGGTGTGGGGATTCCCTTTAAACTACTTCAGTTTTCAAGGAAAAGGTGCTGTCATTGGAATAGAAAGCATCTGAAGGACCATATGTACACAAATTATTTTAAACAAAAACAAAACCTCATTAGATTCATTATTTTTGTGTTTGTTCCCCAAGCTAGATTTTACATATGTGCATTTTAACACTTCTCATACACTTAAAAATGCAAAGGACTTCTTCAGTAAGCTATGAGAAAGGTTAATCAAATTTTCTTCACATGAAAGAAAAAGTATATTCATTGCAAATGCAGCAATACCAAAAATGAGAGTGCAGCATCTGGATACTTTCAATCATAGAACAGGTAGCCCTACTTGTAAACGATGAATAACTGTTTTGATAGTATTTTTTTTTCCTGCGTACTAATAAAAGGGTACTCCAAAAGTTCCCATTCTGTGGTATCACACAGCATAAACCATCATAAATTGGTAACCTCAAAGTAGCTGTTTCCCTATTTTTTTCAAACAGATGGCAGAGCAGCGGTGCCACTAAATGTAATTTCTTCTTATACGACCCCCTATCGGTACGTTATCTTTTTGTACAGTAATGAAAACTCTGGTGGGGTCTGAGCCTCACTAGCTCAGATATTCAGGACAGATTTTCATGAATAGAGTGCATTTGGGAAAAAGAATACTATCAGCAGCAGATGTCAATGAACAGGATTACGAATGAGCAAGAAAAACAGGCTTCCCTCAGAGCAAGGTTTGAATGTTGTGTGGGACAGATCATTAGTAATGCAAAGGAATAAATTTTAGTTACTATCTTTCCTATCTGATGCATCCAGAATGCTTTTTTTTTGAGTAAAATAACATAAAAGGCCATTAAATAAAGAACAGCAGCAGACGAGAGCATGTGTAACTAGTGAAGACAAAATGCAGTTGCTCCTGGAATTAGAAAACAGGAATAGAGATTTTGGTAATGATAATAATGAACTGATTCCTATCACCTCAAGGGGCCTGCTACAGTCAGCTCTCCACAGGCAGCTTTTCTACTTTGTTGACAAATGCAGCCATGAAGGCAGATATCCAAGACAGCTCTATACAGGCTGGGTCATGTCTGTCAGAGTTTATTTATGAGCCTGTATGCAGTGTTCTATGCTGACTCCCCTGCCTACCCTGCTTCTGCGGCAGGGGAGTCAGCACAGGATAGCGAATAAGCAAACAAAACCCCTCAAAACCAAGCTCATCAGCAGCTGAGTTTCTTTGTCCTGTTCTCCTTAGCCCTTCCAGTTTTAGCATCCCAGTTCTGGCACGGCTCTATACAAATACAAAGCATGATGAATATGTGTTCTTTTGGAAATGTGAAGACTCAAGGCTTAGTTTCCCAGTGAAGATGTCTGCTCTAGAAGGTATAAGAGCAAGATATTTCTATACCAGTATATTGTATAAATTTCTACATAGGGGACCTCTGAAATTTGAAATTTAAGACTAGAAAATTAAGTAAAAGTTGACCAATTCATTATTGGTCAAAATCACGAAGTGCTCACTCACCACACTCTTCTGAGACACCTGAACTTCCTGTACAAAAGACTTCCAGAGATACAATTCTTTCTGTACAAAGAAAAAAGCGATAAAGTTCCCCAAATTCACTAGGTTTGCCAATGAACACAGTCGGCAAGAAATAGATCTAGTTTGATGATTGCCTTCAATCAAATGGTTGCATTTGAAGTCAAAAATGGTCTCAGTGTCCAGAATCCAAGTAGCAGACTTCCGAACAGTAATGCGGCAACATGGCATGAAAAAGATTCCTCCCATTTAAATGAAAGGCTTGGTAAGCAGCAAGACTTTTATTGCCAAAGCAAGAGAATCTTGCTTGAGATGAAAGACAGTGTGGGAAAGTTAAGGATCTAAAGGATCTCTGAAATGGACTGAAGATAGCACAACCCTCCATGCTTTTCATAAATGCTTTATTCCTTAGATCAGTTTAACACCTTTCCCCACGTAATGCCTGCACCAAGAACACGCCTTCTTTTTAAAATAGTCCATAGCTTTTAGGAAGCTAGTCACTTTCAAGGGAAACACTTGAAGCAATGGCAAAACCATCTCACCCATACATAACTTGTTTCAACAACTAACTATTCTCAGTGCTGGGAAGGGGATAGAGCAAAAGAATATATTTTTTGGACTAGTTTTTAACTTCATGTTGGAGCCACTGGATGTCAGTGAATTTTCCCATCCACTAGCAAGAGCTTTCAATAGTCAGGACTCTCTTGTTTGAAGGTATGCATAAGCTACAGAATGGTCACATTTAGCATCTTCCCGATCCCTTACTTGGGGTCAGGGTACCAGTTTGTGCCTCTGCTCCCCCGGCAGAGGTGGTCTCTCATTCTCTAGTAAAATACCATAACACTGCTCTAGTGTTCTGCAGTGACAGAATTAGCTGTCATCATACTGGAATTCGGAAGCAGTATGGAAAGAAATGAGGATCTAGATGGAAAAACGTACTTTTCACTAAAATGATTTAAATTAAAAAGGAAAAAAATGCAAAAGCCTTCCCATATATAATGCATTAACGTTCCTGTTCATCTGGCTGCATAATTCCAGGGAGACTAACATAAAGCAGGAGACCTGAGTTAGCAGCTGGGCTCAGGTATCATTTAAAAGTCAGCATGACTAGAAGTGCATAGTGTGTTCTGCCAAACACCTGGCTCAGGACTTCTTTCAGACTTGTTTTCTAATTTTCTGTTTCTTTTGCTGCTCTGAGAAATTTGTAGGTCCTTCTGCACCAGGACAGACTAAGGAAACAAAGTCTTCAGCCTTCTCAGCCTCAGAAGGATGCTTCAGCCATTCTGGTGAATTTCTACCTCTGAGCAACCCTGAGCAGCCTGATTTATCTAAAAAGAGCTAAAATGATTTTCTGGTTTTCCACTCTGTAGCACTCATTTTATTTCATGCTAAGGCAAATAAATACATCTACTACTTGTTCCTTCTAAGATAATGTATAGCAGGTTAAGTTCAAATCTCAGCAGGTTTCAGATTCAAATGTTCATTATATATCAGGAGGTCAGTGTTCAAGCAGAGAAACAGAAAAGTACTCTTCAAAAGGCATGAAATTTATAATGTTTAGAAACTTTTTGTAAAGATCTTGGGATTTCTAGGTTTTAAACAAGCAACATGCAACTTCGAATACCATCCAACAGATAACCAGACTTCTAACGGATTTAAAAAAGAAAAAAAAAAGAAACCCAACAAAACACATCTGTACCCCCAAACAAACAGTAGGTAGTTTAGCTAAGGAAATATCTACGTGTGTCCTGATATCATCAAGAAACTAGGAGAGATGGGAAACTCTGTGAGCAATCAAAATAATGAACCATGACATGTAACATCCTTGTCTCATGAGGGTTTTTCCAAAATCTAACGTGAGTATCTAAGTATAGGCTTATTGTTCCTTAACTTCTTTCTTGTGGATTTTAAATGTCTTTTTCCCCTTAACCTGGCATACATTTTCATAGAATATGTAATTTCTGCTCCTCTGTTAAATTTGTTTGAAAAGTCTTTGCCTGTTCAAAATCATTATGGGGGGATAAACACATCCAGCATAACTTCCTTAGGCTTCATTTCTTAGGAGAAATGCTATAAAACTGCATCTAGCCTTCACCTAGCATCAGCTACTATGATCTTGTGCACAGATGGTGCACTGTCCTGCAATCTCAGACTGCCACCACAGTACAGTCTAGAACAGCAGCTCACCAAATAAAGAAAAACATGGATGACACAGCCAGGAACCAGTAAAATCAGCTGCTTTTGATACTCATGTACAAACCTCACTGAAGTGTTTTTGGTAACCAAACATTAAAGAAAAGATAGATCAACATGCACAATGAAGCCTATCTAAACAAACTGATACAAATCATATTCATAAACCAATATTTACACAAAGAGCTTCTACAACTATGATTTTTGACACTGAACAGTAACTCTGGGAATATAAGACGTCCAGATGAATAAGCACATTGTCTGGAAATGAGGCCTTATTGCAAATGCCACATAGTGAGTAACAAAAAAAGCCTAACACTAAAAATGACAAGCCATTTCTGACTTTTTTTTGTTTGTTGGTTTGAAACATCTGGGCACAAGAAAGCTCTAAACCCAAGGAAGGCTTTGAGTGTTGATGTCATAAGTCTAAAACTTCTTATGGAGACTGAAGCATAACCTACAGAAGCCTTTCCATTGACTTTAAAAAGCTTGGAACTCAACGTAAAAGAAAATTAAGGAATATACAGATACGCTGTTTTATAAGAAAAATACAAGATCTTTAGATAGTACAGATTTCTTGTTCTTTGACTGTTTGTACCTGAATTTTGCAGTCTATGCCTGAAACTTCTGCTGTCATACATAATCACACACCAACCTCCTATAGCTTTTATCCATGCAGTGCTGTGAATGAATCACTGGAAACTTTCAAAGAAATTAAAACCCTGGAATTGACATTTAGCAACATTTTTTTTTTTTTTTTTTTTTTTTTTTTGAGGACAACCATCCCAGAAACCTTCTTTAACCGGATATCATGTCATTGGTTCAAAGAAGAAAATTAAGTTGAAATCAGAATCCAAATTCTAATTTGACTTTCCTTCTCATTTGTTTATACTCATACCATTCAGATTTCCCCAGACTTAGAAAAGCAGATTTAATCCTTCTTGCCCTGCTTCCTACCCCCAGTTGTTGCACAGACACTATACCACACACATGTGAAAATTATTACCATTCTTCTCTATCTGCGTCACAGTTGCAAAAATATCTCATATCCAGACAACTTTCTTCCAGTCCACATGCACACTGCTGAATGCCCGGAAGTGATCCTCCCCAGTAAAGATGCTTTTCATTGGCACGTCCAACCCACCAAGCAAATGGTATTCCATCTGGATGAAAGGTACAGAAAGAAGAAAAAAAGAGAAAGAAAGAACTTGATAAGCAAATTTGATTCTCTTAAGAATGAGAAAGAGAATGGAAGAGGACATGTTAAATAATATTGAAAGAAAAGATGCAAACTTTAGAAATAACAAACTGTAAACTTTGCCCAAATTCTATTTTAATGAATATGTGTTGGGAAAAGAGTAGCTTTATGGAGATACTGTTTCATTTGAGGAACAGATGTTTTCCTCACAAGGCTTACGTGCCGATTGACCCTGAGAATTTTGGTGCATTTCAGCTGTAAGGATTTTTGACATGCAATCCCAACATCACTGTCTGCATCAGCTCTATCCAGAGAGTTTGCATGATGCTAGAGCAGAGACCTCATCACTGAAGGAGTCTGAGAGCAATTCTAACATGAAATCACACTACACAGCTGTCTTGACCCACCCTGTATTGATCAAAGACTTCTTGCAAAACTGGCCGGTTGTGAAGTAAATTCCAGCTCTTAGAATGGGATTTTTACATTACAATCATATATAAGGCGCAAAAATCTTTTGAAATAACACAAAATCTCACCTATTACTATGAACTTAATTCAGCTCCTCTTGAAACTAGAACAAAAAATTTATCAGTTTCTAGTGGATCAGGACTTGGGATTTTAATATGCTTTCCAAGGGTGAAATTTGCTAACGCTAAGCTCTGTGAGACATTCAAACATTCTGGATTAAGGACTCAAGTAGGAGATAAGAGTGGAAAAAGATTTCCCTACTTATGAATTATCTCTATGAAATTATTTTCTATCTACAGGAGCTCTAAGATCTATGTATTTATATAAACGAAAATAGTTTTTGTTTAAATTTCATAATTTCTTATGCATCAAACATCCAATATTAATAGATACATCAAGCAGATTCAGATACAATTAAATCCTCAGATTAACATTTTTCTAAAACTGACTTTTTCTTCCAGCCTAGATAACTTTTTCATTGACTTCTTAATCCTTAAATCAAGAAATGTAATGAATTACATGTACAGGTAGATGGTAAAATTTAGCAAAACTGCAATAGCAAGGCTTTCTGATCAGAGGCACTTCCAAAAATAAAATGCAAATCTAATGTAGAAAAATGTATCAGTATGTTCTTCTGCTCTACTAACATTATTAGTAGGCAGCATTCCTCATTATACAAAGCAAGAAAGTGTAAAATATGAAATGCAATCAAGGTTAACAGTAGATTGTAAGAGACTAATTAAAATGAGTTTTAGAATCACATGGTAAAATTAATTCATATTTGTTTTCCTTCCAAGCTTAGACTACTGAATTGCAAACTCACGGAAAAAGGAAAATACAAATAGGAAGTAACTCCATTCTCATGATACAAACAATTAAACAAGAAGATTCTGACCAATATGCAGTGATACTCATTACAAAACCATAATTCTAGAACATCTAAGGAATCATCATACAAAAATGTGCACAATTATTTTCTGTTTCATATTACTGTCAACACAAAGAATGTTTTTATTCTTTTCTCTTCAGCTGTTGCTGAATAAATAGATCATTGTTGCCAGTGAAACAGGAGTTTACTGTATTATTGGGAAATTACTTGATAAAGCTTGGAATAGTAACCTGTACTGAATGAGAGACTTATTTGTCTAGCAGTTGAAATAGGCCTTTATATAGACGTGTTTAATTTAATTTCAAAAGTGCCTGTTTTGGAAAAAAAAAATACTTAGATAAAGACAAGCCTTTCAGACTATAAGCAAATAATAGTATTCATTAACCAAATTCAACCTGTTTCTTAGATTCTTTTGGCAGAAATCATTATATACCTTTGCATAACAGTAAAATAAGCAATCAATCACAGTAATAAAGTATTAACAGTTTCCTAGCATCTTTCAATTTCTGTTATGTTTTATCAAGCAATATCAAGCAAACATATACAGATTTATCATATAGAGCGAGAGAGTTGTAGAAGTACCACAGTCTAAGTCATTTAAAACTAAATTAAATATAATGCTAAAAAACATGGAATTCAACTATCAGGAACAGTCTTAGTTTGTCAAGGGAACAGACCAAACCAAAATCTTCTCAAAAATTCTATTTATTAGGCACAATTCTGTTGCCCTTTAGAGAAGATGAGAAAATTCTTTCTCCCTAACTGGTCCCTTTGAGATCAATTGTACTATTAAGGAAAATTATGCCCAGTTTCTTCAAAACTCTCTTCCATCTGTTTATAGTATAACACGAGAAATTATTGAGCTATTCAAGCAAAGCTCTTAAATCTGTGGGACTCAAAGCAATATGGGAAGCGTTTAGGGATTACTGAGACATACTGTATGCTATGTACTTGTAATGCTGACACAACGTAATATTTCACTAACACCACCAATCAATCAATCCTTAAATTCTTCCTAGAAATTTTACGTTATTCTATACTGGAGGGCACCTGGTGTTGAGACTGGGCTTGGTCAATAATTGTTCACTAAGGTTCTTTCTTTTAAGTCTGTAAATTTGTTACATCTTTCATTCTGTCATTCTGGTATGATTTTTTTTTTTTTTTTTTTTTTTCAATTACCAATTCTTCTCCACCTCTAAATAAAACAATTTTATTTCTGTAATGATGAAGCCTCTGACTTAGGCCAGTAACATTAATCAAGGGTCATTAAAATTGTCCAAGAAACAAATAATGGTTGCATAAGTCTGTAGAATTCCACCTAAAATATCTAAGGCAAAAAGTCCACTTAAAATCAAATGTTATTAATTTTTCATTATTTGCATAAATTGTACCCAATAACATAGTATTCAGTTAAAACAAAAAAAAAAAAAAAACAAAAAAAAACAAAAAAAACCAAAAACAACCCAAAACCCAAACAATGAAGTAAAACCATACGGAATAAATAAAAGTACAATTTCCTATGCATTTTTGTCTATTTAGAGCTGAAGAAAAATCAGTTATAAAAATTATTTTAAGGCTGTTTTTGAACTTCATACTATGGTACCAAAGGAGAAAATGTGTGGAACAATCCCAAACCAGGCAAAGCAAACAAGCCTCAAGTGACCAAACTGTAAAAGTATTAGAAAATAGTTTCTCACAAGTTATTCCACCCCATATTGCTCAATCTGCTCACTGAAAAGTTGGCATAGGTTTTTTGAAAGGAATGAGTAAGAGGTCTTATCTTCAGTTGACCATCTTGATGTTTTTTTCTATCTCTACAGTTTTGCTCTTTGTGTCTACTGATTTATTCAACAGCTACTAAGCATACTAAGCATCCAGATGCCTAAGTAAGATTGAAAACCTTGTTATATATACACATACCCTGGCATACTAAAGCACACAGACAAAAATTCTATTTTCCCCCATCCTGAGAGGCACAAAGTAAGCTCGTTTCAGATGCTGGTTCTTCAGCAGATTGCCAGTATCTGCTCTATCAGTGTGCTTAACTACACAGTTCACTGTTAGTTCTACAAAATGTACTTCACCAGAAGCAAAATTGGAACAGACAGTACAGATCATGAGCACAGAGGCTGAGGACTATGAAGACAATAGCAGTGGACATACGTAGGTTGTCTCTAATGATCCTTAGAAGGAGATGGGTCTTGAGATTAACTTTATTTGCATCATGTACTGTTCTTCTAATCATGAGAGTGGCTGAGCACATACTGGGATTAGGTGTCCCTCTAAAAAAAACTTACTAGAAAATCTCCATTCTTTTAAATCTCCGTTGTACTGACAGTTCTCATTTCTTTCTCTATTAGAATGCATTGGAATTGCTAGAAATATGAGTTATTTTAAAGGTTTTATGCTTGTTCATATTTGAATAGCAGAAGTTATTTCAAAAATTTTTTTGTATAGACGCTCAGAAGCTGGAGGATGGGGAAAGCAGCATATTGCAAAAGCATTTTGCACTAAATTACAGTGTATATAGATCTCTAGCAAATTCTACAGAGACAATTTACTTATACATAGGCAGAAAGTCTTGCCATTGATTTTTACGTTTATAAAGCATGAGTTAAAATAAGCCATGTGTTTTTAACAGTATTATATTTTGAATGTTTTTCAAGATTTGTCAGCATCGTTTGCCAGGTGGCTCTTGTTATTGCTACAAACAAAAATCTAATGATAGAAATATAACAAGGTAAAGTATATTCCATGTTAAAATCCTGTGCTGTACAAACTGAAAATCCGTCTCCAATAATTGCATATCCTAACACAGAGAAGGCTTCTAGGGTTATCCAAGATATTAAAACAAGTCAGTTTAAGGTCTTTTCCACTACCACAGCAAGCCAATTTATCTGTGTATATTTGAACTATTGAAACCAACCATATTGTACTGAAACAACATTCTTTTGGCAGTCTTATGTTCAGTCTTCTCTCTGAAGTCAAACTGAATTAAGCAGAGAAGTGAATTAAATCTGATGTTTACGTATCCTATCAATAAAAAAAACAGACTAAGTTACATCTATGCTGTTTTCTCTTAAGTGGAAAACACATCAACAATAAAAACTGGAAAAATATTGATTGTAGAATAGAATAAAGCAATTGAAGGCAACTGGCTGCTAGCAGTCAAGAATATAAAATATCTGTTTGCATCAACCACTTCAACAGCATCAAATCCTCACCCAGTATCTTGTATGTCACATGAAACAATTAGTTAGTAGACATGTACACATACACACTGCAATGCCAACCTGAATAACTGAATCCAAAAACCAATACAGAGGCCAAGTTATGCACTCAGCTGATCCATTCTTAAAAACCTCTTGAAAGAAGAGGAGAAAGTAGTAAGACAGTGAGACAAGGAAAAATTCCAAAGATGTATTTTCTAAGATCTTACCATGCTTCTGATTTCCATTCCAACATATCCCTAGCCTAAATTGCCATCTAAGTCAGCCCCTTTGCCCTTTTCAGCAGGAAAAAAAAAAATAGAACAAGAAATGTTTACAATAATTTTGGTCAAAATTTTGGATAAACTGGAGAATTATTCTACATTGAATGGATAATGC